GTGCACATTCCTAGGGAAAGCTGTGCACTGGGTTGTGGGCGTGTGCACATGCGCATTCCCAGAGAGAAGGTCCGGCACTGGTTTTAGTTGGTTGCAGGCCTGTATGTCCTCACTGCCCCCACCTTCATGCCTGCCAGGCCAACTAGCTTATGCCAGATGCCCCCGGGACCACTCTGTGATCCTCACAGTCCTGTCAGGTCGACTTGAAGGTTGTCTGCATTTCAGAGAGGCAGCAGTGGCACCTGGAATGTTAATGACCTGCCCGGTGATTGAGAGCTACTGATCAAAGACCAGAACCATCAGTCTAACTAAAAGAAGAGAAGTCACATCTAGCAGAAGCAATTGTGAAAAATCTGCCCTGGTCCATTGCTTGGAGGTGGTCCTGGGTTTTGTTTCACCATTTGGGTTAAGAGCTAGTTCCCACTAAGGTTTTACCTCTATATACTCGTTAGAGCTGAGAGAAAATGATGTCCTTTCTGATGGCCCACGGAAAAGTGGGCTGGGTTTCTCATCTGCCGCCTCCATGGCACACTCCTATGAAGGCCTCATATGTATCTACATATATTTTTCTCAAAATTTTTAAAATACGAATCTGTCCAAACAGATGTTTGGATATTCATCCCATGGTGTGGGATGTGCTTTAGGTGGGTTTAATTTTAGTTCCAGCCACTGTGTCATTCATTTGCATGTGTTAAAGGGGCAGCTGGGATGCCTTCCACATTTGTTGGATTTTGGCTAAATTAAAGTCTATCCAAAGTCAATCAGATGCCTAGAGCTGAACCAATTTGATCTTGAAGTGTGAGCTCTTCTGAATAACTCTTCTTGCTGAATATTAAGTTACCGATTTGAATTTTCCCCCAATATATCTAATACAGAGTTGTTAAAAGAATTTGACATTCTTATATAGAAATCTTTCTCTTTTTATCTCTGCAGTTTCTTCTTTTGTGTTTTGTGTAAATGTATGGAGGGAAATGCTTGTGCAGTGGAATTCAGTCTTCAGTTGTGATAAATCTGAAAGCAGTGCAAGTGGAGGGTCACTAGGCATGAGAACAAGGTTTGGGGAGTCACAGGGGCCCTCTGAAATAGTGGACCCTCCAGTTCTTCTTCTTCTTTTTTTTTTTTTTTTTTTTGAGACAGAGTCTCACTTTGTAACCCTCAGTAGAGTGCTGTGGTATCACAGGTCATAGCAACATCAAACTCTTGGTCTCAAGCGATTTTCTTGCCTTGGCCTCCCAAGTAGCTAGGACTTAGAGGCACCCACCACAATGCCCGGTTGTTTTTAGAGACAAGGTCTTGCTTTTGCTTAGGCTGTTCTTGAACTCCTGAGCTCAGGCAATCCACCCATCTCAGCCTCCCAAAGTGCTAGGATTACAGGCCTGAGTCAGTGCACCTGGCCAGGAACACCCAGTTCTTAATTCTGTGTCTGCCGTCTGTAAGATGTCCTGACAGTACACCATCTATAACCTGGGAGGATCAAACACAGTGTGTACAAGGGCCTGTTCCGCCTTTCCTGAGATTTTTCTCAAGAGCCACCTCAGCAAGGTGTCCCTGAACCACCTTCTGTAGGAGTATGGCCCCCCAGCCCCACTTAGAACTCTCCATCCCACTGCCCCACTTGGTTTTCAGTTCCTATCACCTACACTCCAGGTTTCACTTCTTTCTTTTTTCATCTGCCTTTTTTCATCAGAATAGTGAGTTGTTACTGCCGGGGTCATTATTCACACACCCGCAGGCACTCAGTAAACTCAACAAATTTTTGTTGAGTGAGTGATTTGCTTAGCACTGCGCCTGGCATACACTGAGTGCTCAATAAATCATTAAATAATATTAAGAATCATGAAAGAATAAAGGAGAAATGAAGGGGCCATATTTAAGCAGTAGAGGTCATCTGAACTCAAGATGAACCACACTTGTTTGTGTTCTCCCAGGGCTGGGAAACAAGGCAGCTGCAGTCCTTTAGGGCAGGGGTCCTCAAACTTTTTAAACAGGGGGCCAGTTCATTGTCCCTCAGACCGTTGGAGGGCCGGACTGTGGGCCCCAGGACCAGTCGGCTGCTAAGTAGGACAGGCAAAAACACCCAACGGGCCGGATAAATGTCCTCGGCAGGCTGCATGTGGCCCTCAGGCCGTAGTTTGAGGACACCTGC